TCCATATTATGATCCCTCCTCTTATCTGTAATTCCTTTCTTGGACTCTTCTCAAATTGTGGTAAAGTACACAACGCATAAAATTTACCATCTTAACCATATTTAATTGTACAGTTTGTATCTGTTAAACAATTCCCCGTTCTCCCCTCCTCCAAGTCCTTGGAAACCACCATTTTACTTTCCATTTCTATGACTTTATTACTGATACTTTATATAAGTGGAGCTATGTGGTATTTCTGTTTCTGTCACTGGCTTGTTTTACTTAGCATGATGTCTTTAAAAATGCTCCATGTTGTCTCATGCGTCAGCATTTCCTTCTTTTGTAAAGCGAAATCACATCCCACTGTATTTATATACCATGTTTTGTTTATTCATTCATCTGCTGGTGGCACTTGGATATTGCAGATAATGCTGGTCTGAACATTGTGTACAAATGTTTCTTTAAGACTCTGCTTTCGGTTCTTTTGGCTCTGTTCTTACCGTTTTGACTACCACCACTTTTCGGGAGTTTCAGATTCCAAGTCAAGTGCACTATCGAATATACCACCATCTATGTGACTTCAGATACCGTCTTCTGAGAGTTGTGTTTTGTAATTGTGTCTAAGTTCCTCCTTTTTGAATGCACTCATCTGCCACACATCCCAACACCAGTGGGTTTCCTCAGGGCACTCTGAGTGGTAGGCAACATATGAGGGATGCAGACTACCTAACATGAGCCCTGGCTCTGCCACTTGTTAGCTAAACGGCCCCAGGAAATTTAACCTTCGCAGTCCTTAGTGTTCTCACCTGTAGTACCAGTTTCAATGGATTTTTCATGATAAAGGAATTAATACATGGGAGGTACATGCACTAGCATGATATGTAGACCACTGCCTGAAACGTCATAAAAGCAAACCTAATAGCTAGCTATTATTATTCTGGATTTTATATTAATTTATACTTGCAAACATAAAATTAACTTCCATTTCTATTTAAAAGACAACTAGTGATTCAGGATTATCATCCAGAGTTTTTAATCCTTCAGGTAGTTTGGGAGAGATCAATGTTGGGAGAGATCAAGAAGCTTAATGTAAGTTTTTCTTTAAAATTAGTCATTCTAAAATGTGAAGAAAACATGGAGAACACAACCCTTGACTTGTCTGATGGCCGAGGAGACTCGATCAGATGGCCTTACAGGCCTTACAGGTCTTTCAGCTTGCCTCTCAGAATCTGAGCCTAATAAACCCTGTACTGTTATGTTAGCTTGTTATTCTTTTGAGTGGTGAGGTCACACATTTCTGATAAAAATAAAAACACATTTTTAATTATGTGACTCATCTATTTATATAGGTAAACCATAAATTAGTAGAATTGACCATGCTGATCATTAAAATATTTTCTCCTGGTTAGTGAGGGCAATGTTACTAACGTTTACTAACTTTGCACTTTACCATAACTCAACTAAGATTTTATAAGCTAAAACTAACATATTCTACACTACTTAGTATATACAATTCTGAATTCAGCTGGGAAATAAAAGAGGCTATTCATTCTGCAAAATGCTGTAAAAGCTAGATTAACTATTCCTAAGAAATAATTGTGAATTGTCTGAATTTTGTATTGTATTTTCAAAGCATATTAAATTTTTGTTCAAAATAACTTGTATAGACTAAAAAGCCGAAATTATCAAACCATTTAAAAATACATTCTCCATAATATCAATTTTAATTAAAATTGGCGAACACAGAACAGGTAAATCCAGAGGCAGATTTACCATGAAATTTATGGAAGTTGGGAGATGGGGAAGAACCCTAGTAATGTGTTTACATATTTGCATGCTTTTGCAACACTTACATAAGATATTTTACATTTTCTTCTAAAAGCGCCCACCCCATCTAAAACTGTATAAGCTTCAGGCCCCACTGAACCCAAACTCCTGCACTCCTGACTGGGTATGATCATCTATTTGAGGATTAGAAATAATTCAATCCTTCCAATTGCGTTTCAAATTACCTGCATTCTGACTATCAGCCACTAGAGGGGCCTAGCTGCATTTGGTAAAGAGAGAGCCTTTGCTTCTTGTTCTTCCTATTCTGTTTTGTTTTGTTTTGTCCTCAAACAAGCAAGGAAACACTGAGCAAACAATATAGTCCTCAGAGTTGAACAGCTGCCTATTAGCTCGAACTGTTGCCATCGAGAGACTGACGTAGCAGAAAGGTCTTACTCTGTTTCCGAGGCTGCCAATCCTTTCACTTGGCAAAAACTCCAGAGAAACAAGGCCCAGCACGCCCCAGTTTAACAAAGTTGAATAAAAGGCCATTTCATCTCAGGGTTACTTAGTCCAAATCAAATAATGCCTAAGCTGTTTGGTCCAAGCCAGCTCAAGTGCTCAGACATCATACAAGGCTTTCTTTACTGAGAACAAGCACCAGCACCACCAGTCTCTGCGTACATTTAGCTTGCTCCTGCTGATTTCGCCCGCCTAACTTCCCAGCTGGAGTAGGTACCAAATCTCAAAATCAAGCTTCACCGAGGACTATCCCCTAGACGCCCCTTGACAATCACTCAGCAGGTGCAAATTAACCCATTACGCAATGTAATTTCCAAAGACTGACTTACCCATTTTACATAAGCAGAAGATTGATAATGTCACAGCACAAAATTGTTCATATTTGCCTATAACTTTCTTTCAAATTCTTATTTCCTATTTTTATTTAATCTAATGCAAAAAAAATGTGACTTTCACGGAAAAGAAAGTGATTCATTTCTAAAAACTTATAAGCTGTAAAATCAAGGGCTCCACATCTGTTTGAGGAAGTTTGACAATTTTCTCTGAGATCTTGAGAATTCCTTTCCATAACAAGGTAGGGAGGTGTGGGTGGGAATCACTGCAAGTTTGTGAGGTGTCATCAGACCAGGGTTAGTAGTTCCGTAGTTTCCCAATCAACTTGTTGATAAGTCATGATTAACAGTTCAGGAAACTCATGTTAGACAATAGTAATTCAAATTAAGCTAAACCAGGGGAGGGCATGTAATTTATTCGGATTTGCAATCTGTTTGTTGCAAGGAGCCAGAATCTTGCTGTGATTTGCCCTTCATGTGCAAAGCTCATTTTGCAAAATCCATCTTCCATAGAGAGGGAAAATCTCAACCCAGAGAATGTAGCCCATTAATATGTTAATTCTTTAATACATCACTAACCAAACTAGCTTTGGTGGTCATTTGTGACCAGAGGAGTTACAATGAGTGCAGAAGATTGGAATAGAGAAAGAGATATTCACTGGAATCAGGAAATAACAAGTTTGCTATTTCTAACTTAGGAAATTAACAGTAGTAAACCCCTATTTAGGGGCGAAGAGGCAAAAGGAAATAAAAGTCAGTACAATACATTCTATTTATTTCCACCTGGAATACTGTTAATAAAAATCATGGATTAAAGAATCTAGCCATTGTCTGCTGCTCAGATTTAATCTTGTACTGCTCTTATTCTTGTCTGTTGTGTTTTAGTTACACTGGTCTTCTTCCTGTTTTTCAAAATGCCAGCCCCTTCCGCCTGCCTGGATTGCTTTCTCACATCTTCAGATGCCTCACATTGTTTAATTCAAACCTCAAATGTCACCTCTCACAGAAGCATTCCCTGACCACTATTTACAAACCTTGTTCATTTACTTGTTCATTTTCCTGTCTCCCTCTAAGCCAATGTAAATTCCATGAGAGCAGAATCTTGTATATCTCGTTAACTGATAAATACCCCAGAGCCTAGAAACTTTTCTTTGTAAGCATCTTTTGCTAGGTGCTCAACAAATGCTTGTTGAATGATGAATGAATAAACAAAAAGTAAGATTATTCTCTACACTTTGTGTGTGTGTGTGTGTGTGTGTGTGTGTGTGTGTGTGTGTGTGTATATATATATATATATATATATATAATTAATACATTAATATCAAGATGCCCATCCTCTGGAGATGTACCATTTAATTTGAGAAATACATTGTATAGAAGAAATGATACCTGTATGTATTGTACAAATGCCAAGAAGAGGCAGAAATAGTTCACGGGAGAAGCAATGACTTGCCTTCCCTTCTGACGTCTCAGGAATTTCAGAATATACAGCAATGAGCTTTCATGGCTGTATGTAAGATTTTTGTACTGGCAGTCACCATGAAGCTGTCCCACAAATTCCATCCTATTTGGGGTAATTTATCTGTGCTCATGGTAACAGACGAGGTGTTACATAAATGCTGAGCAACTTCAGAAAAGTGGAAATAGGAGAAGCATAGCCTCTCAATTTGAAGGGTAGAGAGGAAGGCCTTGAAAATTCAACCACTGGACTTCAATGTACAGCAAAGACTACAACTCCAGAATTATGGAAAGTGTCATTTACTCAGAAAAATGCAGCCTGAACTATTAATACTTTATACAAGCCATGTACTGTCAATCAATTGAATAAGATCTTTTGTTTCTCACAGTAGCAACATGAGACCTATACATGTGTTATTTCCATTAACCCATTTAATAAATGAGGAAATGGTAATTAGAGAGGCCAAACAATGCACCCAATGTCACATATACAGTAATAGCTGGAATGCGGATTTTGGAAGCAGCTACTCTACAATTGAGGTAACAATTCTGGTAAACCCTAGGTCACTTTGCTCAGATATTTACAGGTATTACCAAATATGGGTACCAATCAGCCTGAACTTAAACTTCTAGAGGACAGCTGACCTGTGTTAACTATCCCTTTTCAATTTAGAAATGGACTCGATCACAGAAAATATTAAATATCTTTTAAATGTTAAATATTCTTTGTTGGCTGAAAATTTTATAACATTTGCTCTCTGAAAGTCAAGATTTTCCCCATTATTCTTTGCTCTAAACCCCTGATATTAAATTTATGATATTAAATATATTTTTATCTTATAATATTTAATTTTAATTATGATACTAAAACAAAAGGGAACAGAAGAAGGCATGTTAGCATAAGAACAATTTTTAACCTCATAATATTGTCTACGATAGATGCTATTTTCTGTATGTAGAGCTAAAACTGTTCAATTAACAAAACTGAAATTTACTGATATTTACACATAGCATTATTTTTCATGTTTATATATACATACATATATGTACATATGTAGACATACAGACAAATGGACAAAGCTCATCTGAGTATGACAGAAAGTTCTCTGTTGAAAAATGTATATGTTTAGTTTCTAGTTGTATAGCAGACTAGTTTTATACATGCACACACACACACACACACACACACACTCTCACACACACAACTCAGTAACAAGGAAGAACTAAAAGGGATGAACTTTTTAAAAAGCACTTTCACACAGGGCTGAGTTGTTGGGGAAATGAAGAGAATTTCTTGGAGACCAGAAGTGACAAAGGATGAACAGAGAGAGGTGCACAGACCTGAAGCCAGTGTTTACTCTGGGGACATCAGTCAATCCAGAGTTGACTCAGAGCCTAGATTTTTATAGAAAATCAATGTCTTGGACCCAACAGACAAGCAGACAGACAGAGACCTGCAGATACGAAGCTGGAAGATCCCAGTAGTTGAGCTAGAAAAATAAAACCTCCTGCAGAGGGAGACAGTGGGGCATGCATGTCTCCTTGGTTTTGACTCTTAAGTGGAAATGGGGGAAAAAAACTCCCAAGACTTTCTAACCCCAAGTCCAGTGTGCTTTTGGAGAACACAATTTATACAACATGACTGGCTCAACAGTCCTTCATATTCACATTTATTTTAAACATGTAATGGACATGTAACACCTCTAATGCCATGCACAAAGCAAATTCAAATCTTCTCTGGGAGAACTACACACTTTACAACTTTAAAAAGCATCACAAAATATGTAAGGAAACAGTGAGAAAGAGAGAGAGACAGCAGAAAATGTGAACTGCAGGATTCGTCCTGCAAACCCCATAAACACTTAGTATCTATAAATGCGCTTAAAGAAATTAAAGATGATACTGAGAGTAAGACAAAGGAAAAAGAAACCATCAAAAATTGACCACAAAGTTTTAAAAAGGGAAGCAATAAAACTTTTAGAGACAAAGCCTATAATAGAAATCAGACCTCCATAAATGTGTTTAACAGATGAGGCACATCTGGGGACCAGTTTGCACACTTAAAGATAGATCAGAGGAAATTATTCCAAATGTAGCACAGAGAAGTAAGGAGAGGCAAAATATAAAACAGAAGCTCAAGCTCTAGTTTTCAATAGTACAGTAGGGTTAACAATAATTTATTATATGCTTCAAAATAGCTAGATAAGGTCAAGCATTGTGGCTCACACCTATAATCCCAATGCTTTGGGAGGCCAAGTTGGGCATATCACTTGAGGTCAGCAGTTCGAGACCAGCCTGGCCAATGTGGTGAAATGCCACCTCTACTAAAAATGCAAAAATTGGCCCGGCCTGGTGGCTCATGCTTGTAATTCCAGCTACTCGGGAGGCTGAGGCAGGACAATCGCCTGAACTCAGGAGGCAGAGACTGCAGTGAGCTAAGATGGCACCACTGCACTCAAGCCTGGGTGACAGAGCAAGATTGTCTCAAATTTAACTACAAAGAAAAAGAAAAAAAAAAAAAAAAAAAGCTAGATAAGAACTAGGTAAGAAAAATTGAAATATTCCCAAAACAAAGAAAAGATAAATATTTCATGGGATATCTAATTTGCCCCGATTTGATCATATGTTGTATTCTTTTACCAAAATAACGCATGTGCCCCCAAAATATGTACAACTGTGATATGTCAATTTAAAAAATACAGAAAAAGGAGAGAAGCTCAGAGTCTGGAGAACAGAATAACAAAGTACAACAGGTATCTATTCAAAGTTTACACAAGAGAAGATGTGACAGGACATAGGTGATACTGGAAAAGGTAATGTGATGCTCTTTTTTTCAGAACTGATAAGACACTGTGTTTTACATTTAAGCAGTGCAAGATATCCCACGAATAAATAAGAAACTCACAAATAAATAGTAATTCACCTCAGAATGCCAAAAACAAAGAAAGATACTAAAATCAGCAAAAAAGTAACCTGCAAATGAAAAATTATATTCAATGATGATTTCTGTCTGCAATAGCTGAAGCCAGTTATTTGAATTAGTATTTTTTAAACACTGAAAAAAATAGTTCCAAGAATTGAATGTCCAATAGAATGAGGACAGAACAAATATATTTTCAGATCAACAGAAACAGAGTTTAGAAATAGGAGACTCTCTAAAGAGTTTTCTAAAAAATATGTTAGAAAAAAAATGCCTCACAAGGAATCTACAAAATTCAAGAAATGATGAACAAGAGAAATGTGTAGACACATGATCAAAATAATGTAGAATAATAAAACATGCCTCATTTACAGAAATAGAAGAATCAAGATACTGCTAAAATACAACATAATTATACAAGTCAGGAAGAAAGTAATTCACATCAAATAATTCTAAAACCTTTACAGTGTTTGGGGGGAGTAAATTATGTATTAGGCTTTGTTAAATATGCTTATTAAACTACAGGATCTAAAAGTACACCATAAACGTATAAAATCTAATGGAGGAGGAGAATAGAAAGAGAAAAAAATTGAAAAAGGCAAGGAAAATGAAAAAACAGCACAAACAATATGTTAAAAATGAAGACAGATATATAAGCAATAATAAATGTAAATGGACTAAATTACTAAACTCTCTAAGAACACAGATGATCGTGTTTGATTCAAAAAAAGATAAAATCGAAATATATGCTGTTAACAAAAACATTTAAAAGATAAAAATTGTTGAATAAAACTCATGTGAGGCTATTATTTGGGATGGAGCTCCTGTGCCAGGCCTCAGCAGACCAAACCAAAATGGAGACAATCTTGTCAAGTGCCACATATCAAACTGAAATCTTAAAATACAGAAAAATCTCTAAACATACCAGTTTTTCCAAAATTGGGAGATTTGCAACAATCAACTAGAAGAGGCCCAGTATACCTGAGCCAGCATAACAAGGAAGTAAAGTCTGCTTTAATCCTTGCAAGGAAAGTAACCTGTTGTTAACCAATCTCCTTTCTAGTACTGTACTTTCTTAGTTCTGGCTCAAAAGCAACTGTTTTGCCATGCCCAATGAAGCTCTTTCTATTTTGTAAATTAGATGTTGCCTGATTCATGAATTGCTAATAAAAGCCAATTAGATCTTATTTATCAAAAGTGTATCCTTTGACAATAGTAAAAGATGTATTAGTCAAATAATAGCTGAATCAAGCTGAAGTAATAGATCACTACTCACCAAAATAGACCCTAAGGTAAAAACCTTAGCAGAGGTAAAAGAAAGTCATTACCTGGTGATAAGTTATTTAATCAACCAAGAATATGTCATATTTTCAAGTTTTTATGTCCCTACATAGGAAAAATGAATACAGGTACAAAAACAATGACAAATCTGTCCTCATAGTAGGAGGTTCTGATACACTGATAATTGACATTATAAAGCAATCAAAGAGAAATTGATGAAATTAGAAAAGACTTGAATAATGGAATCGGAACCTTGATCTGATGGACAAATAAATCCTGAAACCGGTACAGAGGAGTACATATTTTTCTCAAATTCAAGTGGGACATTTAGGAAACTCACTGCAATTTAGAACATAAAGCAAGTCTCATCATGTTTTAAGTAATCAATGTCATGTACATCATATTCTCTCACTACAACGCAATTAAGTTAGAAACAAATAATGACAGAGGAATAGGAGGAGAAAGACAAGAAGCGCAGGCAGAAAAGGAAGAGGAAGATAGTAAACAGAAATTAAAGAAACCCACTTGTAAGTAGCACATGTAAAAATAAAGCATAATGAAAAAGAAGTAATGTTGAAAACCTGATGAATGATGACGAAAACACAGTACATTACAAGTTGAAAAGCCCACCTGGAAGAAAGGTAGATAATTCACACACACACACACACACACACACACACACACACACACACACACACACGGCTAAAAAAGAATTGCTTTTAAAAAGCTATTAGGAGAAAATAACAATCAAAAGCTGAAATAGATGAGAAAAAAGAACAGAAAACAGAAAAGAAGATACAAGAGAGAATTAACAGAGTTAATCTGCTTTTAATGGTTAATACAATTAAGCAGCCTATAAATACTGATTTTTTAAAGAGGCAGAAATAAACTATTATAAATGAAAAGTAATCATTTAAAAGATATTATAAGCAACAAAATATAAAAATGTGGAAAAAACCACATTCTTAGAAATGTGTGAATTGTTAAAAGTGACTTAGGGAGTCAGTATTACTATCTGTCTATTAAGAAGGCATAGGAGAAATAGAGAATTAGAATAATCCTAATAATGTTTTTTCTAAAAAATAAGTTAGCTGTTTAAGATTCTTCAAAGAAAATATCATACTCAGAGCATTTTACCAGCAAGTTCTACAAACCTTCAAGGAATCAATAACCTTGCTATATTACTACCATTTCTACAGAACACAAAAGGAAGAAATATTCTCCAAACATTTTTACAAGCCTAACTTTTGATACTAACACCAGACAAGGAGATACCACAAATGAAAAGTAACAGGCCAATCCTAATTATTTATATATTAATGAATGATTATGTATAGTCTTTCAACTAAAATAGCAAATCAAAACACAGCAATGCCCAAAAAAGCAAATACATAATGACCACGTTGTGTTTATCTCAAGAATGTAAAGTTGGTTGAACATAAGAATTCAGAAATGTAAGTCAACACAGTAACAATTCAAAGAAATAAAAATCTACATATTCATCTCAATATATTTGGTGAAAAGCATTCTTTAAGGTTCAGCATCACTTCATAATAAAAACTTTTTAAAAACAATAAGACAACTTCATCTTGATAAAGGGTATCTACAAAGAAAGAGCCTTACAGCAAACATACTTTCGATAGTGAAATATTAAAATTATTCCCTTTGAAATTACACACAAAAAATGCCCACTATCTCTTCCTTACAACATTAACTTTGATGTTTGAGTCAATGCAATAAGTCTAGATAAAAGA